ACGATCGGATAATTTTGAGGCCTTAAATCGAAGAGCAGACAGTTCTACATTTGCAATTAATGTTGGGGTTGACATCCTCTTCCGAATAAGAGCCGTTCCGTTGGCATTAAATATTTGCTTCGACAAATATTAACCTTTCTCAATTATTTCTACCACAAGTTCTAGAATTAGCTGTACCGAATGGCCAGACTTCGAATCCCAGAGAGGGCATGGATGTTTGTGAATATATAGTGTCTATGCAGCACGGGGCACTCTAAATGTGCAGCGAGCTGAACGTTGAATCGTTGATTATAGGGAAAGAGGGATGGTAGACCTTCGGATCTGTCCGCGCCCCCGGGACTGCTTCCCATAATTGGTGGGGGAAATGAATGAAGTCGTACTGCCACCTGTATGGTGCTCAGTGCTTTTGCAAACGACAGGTACAGTCTTGCACTTCTTGCCACGATTAATTTTGTGGGCTGATTCTGGTGTTACTATCAGACAATTGAGATAAGTCACCACCACAATAACAACACAAGTACTTATCCAATTTAAGATTTAGGTAGAACAAGATAACTTGTTTTATTTCGAAAAAGGTATCAGGCCTTACAGAAGGGTTTCCAACCTATCGGACAAGTTCTTCCAAACATACAAACCAGATCATTTACTTGTAAAACATGGCCTCCTCATTTTCCACTTAACTCGAAATGATGCTAAATAAAGAAGGAACTCGAATCTTGGCCAATGAATATTAAGCTAGTTATTTTATAAGGTACTAGCTGTAACCGCCCGGCGTTGCCCGTGCATTTTTGAAAATGCAGATAAGTGAATAGCGCAGGAATAGTAGTGTAGGACATGTAGACTGTCTCTCTCTCTTCCCCCCCCCCACACACAAACATTCCCCGTCAATAAAAAGGAACAATATATCCTAACCATGAGCCATCTGTTAAAAAAATTAGTTTAAATGAGAACAGACCTCATATTAGCACATGCTAGGAAACCGTAGTCATGTGGTTATAATCATTGGTCTGAAGTATAAAAGAAAAGTAAACATAAAAAATTCAAAATCAAAGATAGGAAAGAGTTGAAAGGGAAAGATAGAGAGTACAGTACAGAAAAAATAAAAAGTAACGAAACATGGATGAAATAAAACATCCTGCTTACAGGAAATTTGGAGTTAAGAACCAATTAAATTTTTAATTTAAGTGTAAGTTAAATTTAGATGACAATGAATTAGAAGAGGAGAGTGTTTGTGTATGTTTGTGGAGCTCGGGCTGGGGTCGCAAGGGCCCCTGACCGATTAATGTCTGTTGGTACGGCAGCACCATTCGGATTATTGCTCATGCTCTCAAGAGAGCACTAAACAATAACATCACTATTTAAAGCATGATAGTCAGAGTTAGTTGGGGAGAGTGGAGAGTGGCAATAATTTTTCGTTAGATTGTCCTTTTCGTTAGAGAGCCTCGGGATAAACTATATTTAATGTTCTTCCATTCGGAGATAAGATGTGTAGATTATCGGCATTACCAACTCTTGAACAACCCACGTACAGTTGACCATGGGAGAAACACGGCTTACGGAGGTCGAGCCCTACAACTTTGAGAGATTGTCCTTGTGCCTTATTAATGCTCATCGCGAAACTCAAACGAACAGGGAATTGTAGACGCTTAAACTGAAACTGGAGATCGGAAGGGATTATAGGAATTCTTGAAATAAACACATCTTCGCCTGCAGCATGTCCGGTCATGATGGTGGCTTCTATAATATTTGGCATCAGTTTCTTGATAGAAAGTCTTGTTCCATTGCAAAGTGCAGGCGGATCCAGATTCCTGAGGAGAATTATCGGTGCTCCAACCTTCAAGTCCAATATGTGGGAGGGTACTCCAGGTGGCTCTAATTTGTTGAGAAACTCTGTCGTATAGTTGACAGCCTCGTCAATATTGCATGTCGTGTCTATAGATTTGTAAATATGAAGAGTTCCGGGTAAGTTCTGTAAAAGTTCCTTGTTGATAACACTGACGGCTTCGTTTGTTGGGGCAAGAATTGCTCTTTCGCACAGCCATGCGTGATCAGTGAAGTGGTGAATCACATTCGGAAACACAGCCTCTTTCAGTTCTTCTTCAGTAGTCACAATCCTTCCAATGCCTTGCATCGCTACATATCCATCTTCATTTTCTGAAGTAAGGGCTCCATTTCCTAGTTTCAGTAGATTATCTGCAAACTGCTGGGCAGAGGGATCACCGTTGAGATGAACTCGCATGTTAGTCGATAATCCAAGTGTTTGAATGCCATTCCAGATGTAAGAAGATTTTATGCAGGCCTGCATTTCATCTGCCCTCGTTCCACGCGGAATAACTGGTAGCGTCAGTCGAAAATCGCCTGCCAAAACCATTACGACGCCTCCCATTCTGTCATTGTTCCGTCTGAGGTCTTTCATGGTGACATCTAATGCTTCGAATGCGGCTTTGTACGACATGGTACACTCGTCCCAAACGATGAGCTTGCAATCCTGTAGAACCTTTGCCTTTCCTGAATTCCTTGGGATGTTACACGTTGGAGTCTCTGTGCTTGTCAGATTTAAGGGTAACTTGAACGCCGAGTGAGCAGTCCTACCACCTGTCAAGAGTGTAGCAGCAATGCCGGATGAAGCGACAGCCAGGGCAATCTCATTTCTGTGCCGCACCTTTGCCAAAATAAGGTTGATAAGAAACGTCTTCCCGGTTCCGCCTGGAGCATCCAAAAAGAATATACCCCTTTGCCTATCAAAAACTGCTCTAGTAATCTTGTCAAAGGCTTCTTTTTGATCTTGGACCAATTTAGGCTCATTCTCCTGTATATAAGCTGCGAGCACATCCATGTTATAACTTCGTTCTCTAATTACTTCACTGGAAATGGCAGAATCGCTGTTTCTGTTAGGTTGGGGAAGTCCAAAGCTTTTTCAGGTTCAATCCTCCTAGAGATATTATCTTGTTCTCAAAGTAGATTAGGGCTCTGTTAAAGATGTCGTCATTGTAGTCCAGGTCCATATTCTGCTGCTAGATCCTTGCTTGATGCAGTATGTCTTCAGACAGGTTCTCCCTGTGGTTCATCCATAACTGTTCAGGGCCCGACATGGAGCACGTTTGAAGCATTACAGCAAACAGATTACGCATCATCTTGGGTGATCGAGATGCAGCTGCTTCTTCTAACGCCGTGTTCCAGTGTTCGTCATTCTCCAGAAGTCCTTGAAGTTGGCAGGCCTCTTTGAAAGTGTTGCAGACTCTTCCTTGAACGGTTCTCAAATCCGTGAATGATGTTGGGCCTCTAACTTCATGTAGTAATAGGCGAAGGTGGAAGCATTCGGAGTTGTTGGGATGGACGGTGTAGACACGGCCAAGAGCATCAGTAGACCGGATTCCTGTTTTTTCTGGAACAATTTGTCCTTTGTTTACGGCGATTCCAACTCTTGTTCCTGCTGTTCCATGTGTAGTACTTGGAATTTGGTTGTAAAGTAAATTGCGAGCAAAGTTATCTTGGGTGCACAGCTTGAAGAAAGATGTGAGCGTTGTTTCCTGGGGTGCCTGGACCCCGTTCAGCAGCATTTCTTCAGTGAAGTACACTCTCTGGCCATTTCAAGGTGGACGCTTAGATGAACGACTGTGGGATGACGTTCGTGGATTGGAAAGTTGAGTATTCTCCACACTGCTTCATTGCTGCTAATGTATCTTCCCATCTCATATTGATGAATTTCATTCAGTTCATTGGTTCCACTGGTGACATCAAATACAGCCATGTCGGATCCTTTATTGACATACTTGCATACATACTTTATGGACTTGACAGAATTGCAGTACTCAACGTTGATATGTGCGTTAAAATTTTGGATAGTAGTGGACAGTAAGGAACAATCCAGGCATTGTCCACCGAAACTTCTGATCCTCGTAGATTGATCTTGCTGTAAAACCTCCATCTGCAGGGCTTCTACGACGATACAGTGGATATCCGTCTTGTCCCGTCTGCGTGTCTTTCAAGAACTGGCGAGGGTATCGCTCTCTTGTCGATTTTTATTTTCCAACATTCTTTTTTTCGAGGTGGCTGCGGCATATTTCTTCTAAAATCTGAAAAGCAAAGTTAAACAACCAACAGAAGAATGATTACAAAAACTGAAGAAAACGCTACAATAAAGAATCAATTGTTATAATCGAACGTTATTTGAAAATAAATAATAGCAACACGATCAGTGAGTCAAAAACCATGATAATATTAATTAAGAAACAAAAAGTTATAAAGGTGCAATTCTGAAAAAAAAAAGAAATTAATGTGTCATGAAAACAGCAACTAAAGCTACAAAAAAGAATGAATTGTAATTAATCGATTTAATGTATCGTCAAAACAGCAAACTAACGCTAGAATAAAGAAATCAATTGTTACAATCGAACGTTATTTGAAAACAAATAATAATATCAGTGAGTCAAAAAAACCGTGATTAATTAATTATAAATAATTTTTTTTTAATTTTTTCTAATTCAAAAATCGAAAATCGGGCTTCGAGGTCTGGTGGCCAGCCCCTTTGTGCTTCCGTATAAAAAATTCCAGGTCCCTGCGTGCCATAGATTTGGCTGGAGAGCTCGGTCAGACAGACAGACAGACAGACTTACACTTGCTTTTATTATTATAGATTACTTTACATGCTTTCTCCGAATTTAGTTCTGTTCAATGCTAATTATGTACTTCTGCTGGTTTATGTTTTTATGGAAATTTGATTTACAGTTTTATTTTTGTGTATTGTTTTTTTATAGGGATTCTGTATATGGATACTCCACTATAGTATAATGCTATTGGTTCTGTTTATGGGTTTTGTGCAGCGATTTTTCCAAGAGGTACCTTTATTGGTCTGTGGATTTTTGTGTAGTGGTTTTTACAGGATTTGGCATATGGGTGCCTGTATAGGTGTACATGCTTTTGTTTACTGGTTTTTACAAGGCATAGACCTACGGAATATCCATTTTTTTTTATGGAAATTTGGCCAATGGATATGCATATAAAGTTTTGATTTTTGGCTATGGGTTTTTACTGGGATTTTGCTTATAGTGCCTACAGTTCTACAGGTTTCTACAGAGATTTGGCCTACTCGTATCCGTACAGTCGTACGGGTTTCTGTTTACAGGTTTTTTTACGGGTATTTGGCGTACAGGTACCTATACAGCCGTGCAGGTTTCTTTCTATGGGTTTTTACGGGAATTTGGCCTACGGGTACCCGTACAAACGTACGGGTTTTCTTTTATTGGGTTTTTACGGGTATTTGGCCTACGGGTACCCGTACAATTGTACGGGTTTCTTTCTATGGGTTTTTAAGGGGATTTGGCCTACGGTACCCGTACAACCGTACGGGTTTCTTCTATGGGTTTTTACGGGGATTTGGCCTACGGGTACCCGTACAGTTGTATGGTTTTTGTCTATGGGTTTTTACGGGATTGGCCTACGGGTACCCGTAGAGCTGTACGGGTACCCGTAGGCCAATTCCCCGTAAAACTTTTTATGGGTTTCTACGGGGCATTTTTAGCAGGGTATGCCTAACAAAATATTCTGCAAATTACCCTAAAATTCAAAATGTTTCAAAAGCTTATTTCAGTACGTACGTTCATACATATGAATCTCCCATAACTCCAAAAGGGAGTAGATGTAAAAAAGATGAAATTTTGTGTATGGGACTGCTGTAATATGTAATTGTGGATCTCCTGTTTTCGTTGCAATCGGCCGCACCAAACATATATAAATATACGTAAGTATATCAGCTCATGTTTTTTTTTATTCTTATATGTTGTTAAATTGTTCATTTTTGCCATAAACGTGATTGAAATGCGTTGCTGCTATGGTTCAGTTAAGGTTTTTCTGCCTTTAGTTAATCTGCATGCAATAGTTGTAGAATTAAGAGCAATTAAAACATTTACGTGTCGCTAAGCCTAACGAGGCTACCATTTGTTTGCGTTTGAAACTCTTAGTAGCATAGTGAATAAAGTCAGTCGGTGCACTAACTTCAGTGTAATTTTGCTTTTGCCCAGTGGGACCAAATGTTAACTTTCAGTTCTGGGCTCCAAAACTCTGTCTTCCTGCCCGTTAGCCGAATTGCTTGTTTTGTGGTAGAAACTCTAATTTTAATAGTAAAAAAAAAAAAAAAAAAAAAAAAAAACTATTCTTATCTACATTTGGCGGTTTTTTTTTTTTTTTTTTTTTTTTAATTTTCCAGATTTTAATGAAGATATTTATTTCTCGATTTCCTGTATTTTTCTTCGCCGCGAAGGAACTGAACTGACTGAATGAGAAACATGTCTCTAACGAAATTCTAGGGAATAAATTTAAATGAAGTGCAACGAAAAATGTGTATAACTTACTAGAACGTACAAGGAAATCATGGAGTCTCCACATCAGATTTTTTTAGCTAAATTAATATTACTAGTTCTAAATAAGTAAAAGAATAGAAAATTTTCCATTGCATTCGATTTATCGTTGAAAGAGAATAAAAATTCATTCTGCTAGGTAATTTGTGAAAGAAAAGTTAAAAATGTGACTCGTCTTAGAAATTCTCTCTTTACAATGGACTGCCTAATAGAAATGCTTGGAATTAAATTTCCACGGAATGAGAAGGAGAGAAAAGAAGACAATGAGCTAGAATTCGAAGCAAATTCTGAAGTATCATATTTCTCCCTTAATCTAGAGCAATACTTTAATCCAACCATTCACTTGACAAATACCGGCACTCCGTAGTCGCTTTGATAACGAATAGTCATTCAATAACCATTTCCAGCCGTGATTTCAGGATTGATATTAAGTTTCAGAAAAGATGCAAACTGCCAAGTAATTTTGTTTATGTCCGCTTAAGAGAAAGCTTTCCTTTTCTTTAATTTGTTCAGTGTTGAACTGCAGAAGTGTTGACACCTTTTATTTTTCCCTATATTGGTAAGTAATAGCGTAGTTGGAAATAATTCCGAATTTAGAGGTTTTTTATGTAGGCGCATATTTGATGGGTATGTTCAGAATTTTACAAATGCATTATAAATAAAATCTTCCGAGATCTTTTTGCAAGATTTTAAATCGAACGTTTCAGGAACTAAAAATAAGATTGATTCTTTTGTTTGCTATATTTTTTCCTTAACCAAGGAGAAATTAAATTAAAAATTAAACAAAAAAATACGATAACAAATGTTTGGGAAAGAACAATTTAAATTTAAAAAGAGGTACTTCGAAATTTTACTTCCCTTCGCCGTTTTTGAAATCATTACTGATGGAAATGTAACCAGAACAATTATGACGAAGTATTTCGCTAAAAACTTTATCTCAAAGGATGTATTTGCTCCTGTATCTGTCGTTAACGTAATTATGTTTCAGGAGATATATAAGATTAAGCGAAATTCCTTATTTGTAATCCATTATATTCCTAAATGGGTTGGCAATAGGAAAGAAAGTGTTTGTAATATGATAAGAAAACTAACAGAATAAAAAGGTTTGCTTAAGTTTTTACAGTTTTCATTCTCAGTATTATAATAATAACAATAATGATGGTGATGATGATAATGATAATAAGTTCAGAACATCACCCAGTCAGTATAGTGGTTACGGGAGACTACTGCGGTACCGAACGGCCCGATTTAGAATCTTGGAGAAGACATGGATATGTGTAAATGTACAGTGTCCGTGCGGCATGGGGAAACTCTAAATATGCGGTGAACCGAAAGTCTTTACATGTGGTTTAGGAGAAGGGGAGGGGGTGCGTAGACTCTAGCAACCATTGTTCCATGTAATATGGACACGATGACAGCAAGAATATTAAGTTTCGAAAAATATTTAGCATTCCAAAAATACATAGCAATGTAATTCAAATTTTATATATACTTTATATTTTATTTAAATGTTTCTAAATTTATAGACAAATGTTTGTTTTCTGAATAAGAAATTTTGGAATAAAACTTTATTTGCCTTGTTGACTCATTAGTTTTTTTTTTTTTTTTTTTTTTTTTTTTTTTTAAAGCAAGAGACGGGAAAATTTTTCAATGTCCTTGCCAGAATCCAAATCCAGAATCCAAATCTGGGATACTCATCGAGTATGCTTCTAATTAATTACATCACGAATAAATTTAGAAATCAAACAACATAAACCAGCGTTCTGTTTTTAAATTTTCACACGACTAGTTTCAATGGTTCTACCGAACCATCGTCCTCAGCTGCAAAAGCGCAAATAAACGAGAAAAGTTTCTAATCACTATCGAGATCTTATCACTATATCTTATGTAGTTGATTTGCGCTAAATCCATCGAAACTAGTCCTGTGAAAATTTGAAAACAGTGATTTTTGTTGTTGATTTCTAAATTAATACTTGTTCGACATGTTATTGCATCTTAATTATATCACGAATGCTTTCAGGAAGGAGGAAGAAGAAATCTTACTTACTACCCCTTTTACAGAATGACTGGCGATTAGGGAACCCAGTCGCCAAATCATGGCGGCGACGAATTATCATCCACAAACTTTTAATTTTTCGGGGGCCAATTGTAACGCAATTAGTTGTTTTTTTTTTTTTTTTTTTTTTTTTTTTTTTGGGAAAATA